GAATATGACTGAAAAATTTCATTTTTTCTAAAAAGGTGGTGTCTATTTACTTGTGACCACGCTGTGTATGCAGCACACTCACATTCAACTACTGGAGGTGGACCATACCCTATATGGCAAATCAGCAGCACAATGGGGAAGTTAAAGTTTAGATGTCATTCATTACTCCTTAACATGTATACATAGTAGATAATGTTTCATATTAGTTCTTTAGAGTGTATTTGAATCTGGTTAATCACTTCATGACATGTCACACATTGTAAATAATGTTTAGTTATGGTTACTTACCTCTTAACACCCTCAACATGTACTCATAGTAGATAATGTTTAATCATCTTTCATTACTTCTTAACATTTACATATAGAAAATAATGCTCATATATAGTTTTGGGCCTATTCCATTTGGGTGAGTTTCATAACTGATCATGTTCTGGGGCACTGTAAATCATTGTTGGTTGTTATCTCGACATGACCAAGTCCTACCCATGTAATAGTTCCTCTTCCAATATTCTTCCTTTGTTCTGCTTTCAACTTGTTACTCCTTTTTATTGCCTTTGCCACATCCCACATCAGTCTCTCCACCATCTCAACTTGGGATTCTAGCCACCTTTATACACAGGGACATATAAAAATCTGGCATTTAGCGTATAAGGCCTTAAGTAATAAAGTAGTGCCATGAAATTTTGTGAATAGGCTGTTGGGTGAAACTACAACTTACAAATAATTGAAATGCAAAAAAAAAGCTGTTTATTTTTTATCTGTTTATCTCTTTCGGAAGTCAGCATTTTCCTTACCTGAAAATGGGTTTCTGATAGATACCTCTTTAATGTTCCCACTCATCCTCCCCACTATCCCAGTGTACCTGTCTTTATTTTATCATCAAAGAATGGAGATTCTCGTGCACAAATATAGAGGGAGTATTTGCACATAGAGATGGTGTATTACACTACTGTTGGTGAAGGGTTTTGCTGCATGGTATGTAATCATGTAGTAATGCAAATTCATGTGGGCATGTGAAATTACGTGGGAATTTTCACAAGGCTGGTGGCATGCAAAGCTCATAGGCAGAATGTGCAAACTCAAGAGGAAATAGCTATCTGTGTACATGGAGGTGAGTAATTATCATAATTACATTTCTTGCTAGTACATCTGTTTCTTTGCCATCTCCTTGTAACACATTTTCTGATATTTGGTGTCCATTTCTAGCTCTTGACATGCATTACTATTGCAGACTCTAATCACTTCATATTTTGTTTTGGATATTGTAAGGTATTTGCTTTATGGAGAGGATGATACATTACTTATATAGGGAGTGGGATTTCCTGCCAAAACATGAGCATGTTCACCAAACAATATTTGGACCTCTTTCCATTTGATCTGTTTGCCATCATTTATAATGAGTGTACATTGACCAGGATTAACAAATTAGGCAGGCATGTGCTTGATAGTTAATATTACATATTATGATAAACCATGAGACTGAGGATGCTAAGATTTACTTACATGAGTTAACCATGCCTAACATGGACACAACTCAGAGAACAGTTGTCTGCAGAAAGTAGCTCTCTGATCGATATAGAACCTTATGAATGCTCTA